GCACCCGGGAGGGTGACACGTGGTGGCTACGTGGAGGACATGCCGAACGGCTGGAATCCTGTCCCCGGCATAGCGGCTATAAATACCCACAGTAGCTACAGTGTGAGGGACTTTTGGACGATCGATAGGTTGTTGTTAGAGAATCCCGACCGCAGTCAGTCGGTACTCAGAGCAACCAAGTAGATTGTACTTAGGGCCTCTACCGTGATCAATAAAGACATTTATTTGCTTTAGTTGGTCTTGAGTTATTTCATATTGCTTACGTAAAATTAGCAGTATCATATATATATATATATATATATATATATATATATATATATATATATATATATATATATATATATATATATATATATATATATATATATATATATATATATATATATATATATATATATATATATATATATATATGAGTGTTAGGAATATATTGTAATAGATTTTGATATATCAATTTGTATTTTAGAATCCCCAATTTTATTTGTTGAGTCTAGGTTTGTCAAAGACCATGAAAGAAAAATTAACAAACATAGAAAAAGGGAAAATATACTAAGAAAAAGAAGGAGATGTATGCATATGATATGTATACTTAAACAAGCCCACACGCCCAACTCAAAGAAGAAGTCATACTGGATAATCTCATACGAAGAAATGAGAAGCAAACGAGATTGCATGAAGTTATCTTGGAGATCAAGCATATGTCAAAACAGGGGATTTTTATCATTTTAAAAAAGATTATGTGTTTTCAAGTATAAAATTCTGTATATTCGAAACATGAGAATTTTTAGCTATAAAGAGTGAGTTTCAAACCTGAGACTTTGGAGTTAATTTATCAAACTTTCAACCATCTCGTCTGTACAGATTATTAGTCATTGTAGCATTCTCCTTGATGTACTTCTTTCTTTCCAATGTACAGAATTTTATTCTTGAAAATACAGAATTTTATAACTGAATACACATACATTTTCGTCGCGTTAATTCCTCACACAACCTTAACAAAACGACGTCGTTTTGTAAGGCGCGGGGTGCACATTGCTATGTGCGCCCTGGTGCACGGTATAACAATTGATATATTACTAATGGCCCGTTTGGTTCACGAAATAGGCCGGGAATGGCATAGCATTCCTAGTAATAGGCATATTCCTTTGTTTGGTAACAATTTCTATTACCAGGAATAATATTCCTAGTAATAGCCTATTACCTCAAATAAGGTAATAGATATTACTAGCCCCCCCCCCCCCCCCCCCCCTAGTATTAGCCTATTACTGAACGCTCAGGAATATATTTTAGAATCTATTTTCTTTTTTACCTCTTTCTTTAACCTAATTTTTTTTTTATCATATATATAAATTTATCCTATTTCACCACCATCGTCGCCACCACCACCACCACCACCGCCGCCGCTGCCGCCACCACCACCATCGCCGCCACCGCCACCACCACCATCGCCACAACCGTCGCCGCCCCCACCACAACCGTCACCCCCACCCTGCCACCGCCACCACAACTACTACCACCCCAGCACCACCACCGCCACCACCATTGCCGCCGCCACCGCCACCAAAACCACCACCCAGCAGCACCACCGCCACCACCATCGCCGCCCCACCACCACTGCCACAACCGTCACCGTCACCACCACCACCGTCGCCCCCACCACTGCCACCGCCACCACCACCATTACCACCCCAGCACCACCACCATCACCACCACCGCCACCACCACCACCACCGCTGCCACCACCACCACCACCACCACCGCCACCATCACATATTTTTAAAAGGGTATTTATGTCTTTTAAAACATATTTCATTTCTATTCCTTAAATCAACCAAACACTGTAATATAATTCCTAAAGTCTATTCCTTCCGCGAACCAAACAATAGAATACAATTCCTATTATATTCCTTGCCTATTTCATTCTTTATGGAATAACATTCTTATTACCTCAAAATTCATTCCGTGAACTAAACGTGTTGTAATAGAATTGTAGTATATGAATTAAGTTCGTGATTAGCTTGTTTTCAAAAAAAAAAAAAAAAAAAGTTCGTGATTAGCTCATGTACAATGTATATGCAAATCGCAAATTATGCCGTGGAATCGTGTTCACCGAGAATGGTGAACACAAGTCAAAACGACGTCGTTTTTAGGCAAAAAAAAATAAAAATCGCGGATGTGGAGTTAACGGCGCGTTACTGATCAAATTATGAATTTTCTGTTATGAGATTATGAATTTTATGAAAATTCATAATCTCATAACAGAAAATTCATAATCGCATAACAGAAAATTCATAATCTCACAACTGAAAATTCATAATCGCATAACAGAAAATTCATAATCTTATAACAGAAAATTCATAATCTTATAACAGAAAATTCCAAAGTGAATGTGCAGGCATGGATTCATAATTTATGAATGTCCGTGATTTCGGACGGGAATATGTAGGCATGGTTCCAAAGTGAATGTGCATGCATGAATTCATAATTTATGAATGTCCGAAACTCCGAAATTATGAATGTAATGAAAATTCATAATCTCATAACAGAAAATTCATAATCGCATAACAGAAAATTCATAATCTCATAACAGAAAATTCATAATCTCATAACAGAAAATTCATAATCTCATGGTTCCAAAGTGAATGTGTATGCATGGTTCCAAAGTGAATGTGTAGGCAGTCACGTAATTAATTAAAAGAAAAAAAAATAATAATAACGATGCACTAACACCGTTGGAATCGTGTTCACCATTCATGGTGAACACGGTTCCATGGCATAACGTCTGTATGCAAATAACGTCGGCCCAATTAAGGAGAAATAGGCTTAAATTGGGTTACATTCGTTCTTAATGAACTGACAAATTACCCTCTATAAGGCCCAGTTTTCTTTAATTGGGCCGTTAAGCAATCTTTTGGAAACTTTGAGGAAACCTGGCAATTTATATTGTGGATCACGAATGCATGTTCATTTTTAATATAATGAATATTTATTATTTAGTAGTGTAAAATATTAAGAAATTGTTCAGTAAATGACCAAAGTTTTTTTTTTTTTTTTTTTTTTCATTTTACATTTCTTACTTTTCATTTTAATTGGTCAATCCCAAAATATTTTTAACTTTTCAATACTACTAGCATTTTATTTTTCTCAATTAATTCTTAACTTTTCATCGATCAATATGATATGCCCTATTTAGGGGCAAATTATGGTCCACACAATGTTTTGTGGATCATAATAAAAAGTACATTTTTAATATATTAAATGTACATTATTCATGTACTGAATGTACATTATACAAAATATTGTATTTTCAATACTCAAATAATGTACATTATTTTTGTACTGAATGTACATTATTTTACAATATACAAAATATGATCTATACAACTTGTATGGACCATGGTCTACATAATAATGATTGGTATTTAGGGGCAATTTATATCCTGCACCATGGCTCGCGTTGCATTGTACGCCCAGATGCAAAACGACGTCGTTTCAATTTTTTATTTATTTTTTTTGAAATTTCGCTACCCAGTGTTTGACAGTTAATTTTTCTTTAAAAAAAATCTCATGTTCAAAAATGTACATAATGTTATACTAGAATACACATAATTGTATACATGAATGTACATAATTATATAACAAAATACACGTAATCTTTTTAAAAAATAATACACATAATCTAACATAATAAACATAAACTTTTAACATAATACACATCAACTCTTAACATAATACACAAAAATTTCCTGATTCGGATGTACATAATTGTATAAAAAATGTACATAATTATATAAAAAAATATACATAATTGTATAAACAAATATACATAATCATGTCAACTTCCTACCGCGCCTTCTAAAACGACGTCGTTTTGAGAAGCGTTGTGCGCATAGTGCATTAGTGCGCCGTGGTGCAGGGTATAACGATTGGTATTTAGGTGTCTCACTGCCTATTGTAATTTTTGCTGGTCTTTGTAGGCTGACAGATTAGAATTTTTCAAAAGTGTCAAATCCTTCTCGATTGATGGTGCCATCGCTAATATTTCAAATTGAGTTAATACCCAAAATCGTCCTCGACTATAGTGGTTTTTCTCAATTTCGTCCTAAACGACTTTGGTGACCTAATATCGTCCCAGACTTTTGTGTTTCGCGCAATTTAGTCCCAGACTTTTGTGTTTTTGCTCAATTTAGTCCATCATTTGTTATTCGGTCCATTTGGTGTTAAATAAATAGACAATTAAGTAATTTTAGTATTGGCATTTCTTTAGTCATAGACATGTGAACTGCGAAATCCCTTTTTTTTACGAATTACTTCTAGAATTACTCCTAAAACTACGAATATAAAATTTGATTTGCAGGTCCGGGAGTAATTCTGGGTGTAATTTGTACAAGAAAGAGGAATTTCGCCCTTCACAAGTTGAAAGTAAAGAGAGATCAATATTGACATTACTGAATTGTCTCTTTATTTAACACCAATTTGACGGAATAATAAATGGAGGACGAAATTGAGCGAAACACAAAAGTCTAGGACGATATTAGGTCACCAAAGTCGTTTAGGACGAAATTGAGAAAAACCACTATAGTCGAGGACGATTTTGGGTATTAACTCATTTCAAATTTAACCAAAACGGCAAAATTACTATATTATTGCACCGCTAGCAAATAGGCTTATTTCATTTTTTTCCTTTTCTAAACATTGATAATACTTACAAATTGGGAAATTTAACAATTTGAATAGATCTTATAATTGACCTCTAAAAGTTAAGGGAGCCGATTCTTCTTTTTTCGAAACTTCAATATATTATTAACTTTGTTACAATATAATATCTATCTATTGACTTCCCATTGCATTTATAAGTTACAGTTATGCCACTTGACCACAAGGTTTTTGGCTCCATACATCTTAGGTGATGAGTAAATTTTTTTAAGTGTCAGTTTATTTATTTTCTTAAGAGAAATATGAACTATAAGTAAAACTAAACCAATTACTGTAAATGAAACTAAACAAATAAAATAGTACAAATTTAATATTAATAAATATCTGCAAGTATGCTCAGAACAGTAACATGGTTGAAGATTTAGGTAAGATATTACAGGAAGTAGAAAGATGGTAAATAATAATTTACTGTGAGAGAGCACTGGTGTTGTACACAAGGAGGGCACCTCCTGCCAGGATGCCAACCAATGTAACAGCCCAGATTGCTAAGCCAGTGGTACCTGCATAATATTTTTCACTCCCAAAGGTTAAATCTTTATTCTTCATAATTACTTTTGAGATTATTATATATTGTCACTTATTATTACGAATTTTCATGACGCTAAATAGTGTCAGTATCTTTTATACTAGGTACAATCATTAATGTTATTTAAATTGTACCAAGTACGGTCAATACTTATCCTCAGTCATACCCGATATAATCAGACATACCATGTCTGGTTATACCTGATACAAAAGGCACTATTATAGTAATGCTGATCAACATTTAAAAAAAAAATATTATATATTGCATACCATGTGTGGTTATAGCTGACATAAAATGCACCGGTACTAATTGACACCTTTGAAATATTCCTTAGTAATTATATAAGTTTATTCATTTTTAAAAAAGTTTTAAGGTATCATATATATTATATCTTCATAATTGTATTCCATGTTCAACATGACAAAGTCTATTTTATTTTGAGATATGCATACATACATACACTATATATACACACACACTAAGAGTATATTGAGTGCACAAATTATATTAATTCATATATAATCTCAATATTCAACTTAAGTTGCGCCAAATTTCACTATATTCATGTTTTATAGATTAGACTGATAATATAAGAAAACAATCTTACCTCCAACATAAACATCACCACTTGGGGACCATTCGTCCTCGTTGTAAATAGGGCTGCACATTTAATTTTCAAACTCACATCAATTATAAAGTATTTTATCGTGACATATCAACTACTTAATTAGGCGTAAAGTAACAATATATCTAATGATGTTTAAATTATAACTTGATGATTTTTTTTTTAAAGAAAATTTGCACTAGCTAGAATATACTCTAGTTAAATAGTAATTGTTGAATTTCCCAATGTTGTTACATTATTAAGCTTTTAGTTGAAATGTAACATGCTTCAAATTAGTATCAGAATCAATCTTGTGTAAGGAGTTATGAATTTAAATTTCTGTGTCATTTTAAACTTTTAGTTGAGATTAGAATAGATGAAATATGTTAGTGAAGATAGGTTGAAAGTTTCACCTGTAACCATCCACGTTGGCACCATACTTGTCTGTGTATTGGTAAACACCCTTTCCCTGTTCATTGATCACAATATTTTGTAAAAATAATTAAATTAAATTAAATTAAATTAAAATGATATGCGTACAGTAATTTTTGAGTACGATATGCATACAGTAATTAATTATTAAGTAATCAAAGAATTTTTTACCGTAGGCTTCCTGCCAGAGGCATCAACGCCATTCCTCAAGTTCATGCCTCCACTCACTCCTATTAACAAAACCCACCATCATCAACAAAACATACATACATCTATACTTACACTTCCAATATTTGTTATTTAATTAAATTAAACCAAATAATTGAGATTAAACCAATCTGGTTAGCACTTGTCCCTTAATTTGGCCAGCACAATGCAAACGGGAATTCATTTGAGTATAGCGTTTAGGGTTTAGGGTTTAAAGGTGCTTCTTACAGTTAGGATCTACTCAAGATACCTCGTGGTCTAACCTAAAAAAAAAAAAAAAAAAAAAAAAAACAACCTCGATATGCTCCTTAATACTAATCAACTATATATTAACTATATACACAATTTTCCTAGTAAAGATCGAAAAATTTTGTAGTGTCGTGCACAATATAATGATAGTGTCACACTCTTAAGTTGCTCTTGTTGGGCGACAAGGAAAAACTCGAGGATGTTTATTGGTTGAATCTGATCAAGATTAAGCGGGTGTTAACAAGTGACAAGGAAAATTAACTATCACCTATTATTACTTGAAGATATGTATTGAAAAAATAGTAGTAACAAGAATCAAACTTATAAGGTAGGTATGAAAACTCTTTCATATCAGTCTCTCTTGTTTATATTACTAGTACAATATATACTTTCTTTGTTCAATTTTACATGTCTTAATATTATAAAAAATTAAATTAAAAATAACTTTGGTAAACTAAATCAGTCATGTTAACTGAACTAGACACATAAAATGAATGTTTTAAAATATGAAAATAAGTTCACCGTATGGCTTGTCGGTCTTGATCTTCTTGCCACCACTGGCCATAATTCTGAGGGAAGAGCGGCGGGAAAGCGACGGCAGGCCTCTGGCCGCCGGTGTCTGGACTCTCAAAGGAGTGGGCTTCAGGCTCAGAGAACTCATCACTGTGGTTGCCATCTCTCTCTCTCTCTCTCTGTTCACAAGTCACAAACACAAACTTCAGCCTTGGATGGATTTTTTGTTGATTATATTAGAATTCCACCTCAAATTGGTGATTTCCCACGTGACACGTGGCGACGGTCTTGTGGTGTGGTTGTGGATATGATGTTAAAACGTTATCGGTTTCCAAGCTTCGTTACACGACGAGTTTTAAGTTTTAAATAACCAGTGGCACGAGTCCTCCTGCTGACGTGGATCTCCGCTATTGGGTGCTCAATATCCACGAATTCGCTTGATTTTTCCATGCTCTATGAATATTAGACCTCATCATTTAAGAGGGGTCAGACCTCCTCTCTTATGAAAAAATTAATTTGATCGCACTTTACTTTTTAATTAGATTGGTTTGGTATAAATGACGATTAGTCTGAATATGGTACGCGTTTAAAGATGTCTCTTACATTTAGATCTTGCTTAGAACACCTTGTGGTCTAATAAAATAAAATACCTACATATTTCTAGCTATTTCATTGTTTTACTAACAAAAATTCATTAGTAAATTAAATAATGTGATATGGATTGAGAAGTTTGACTTAAGAGAGCAAACTAAACAGGGTGATGAAGTTTTTCTTTATAAATTTTGTTTCTAGTTATTCCAGAGTAACCTTAAGTTAGGATGGTTCAGACCATTCTCGGCCTATCACACGATTATTTTCATTTGACATTGTTTATGTAATCCATCTACTCCAGGATCATTCAAGGTGTAGGAATTTTATTTAAATACAAGTGAAATTGACCGGTTAAATTTAAGAAATCAAATCCAAGTCGTGTGTTACACACACTTTTTTTTAAAATTGATTCACTACCTCCTAAAGGTGCAAGGAACGTTGTAGCGTTAGTCTCCCAAGATATATAAAATAGATTACCAACAATATAATTGAGCATTCACGCTATATTATTTTCAACAAACGTGAACAACTGAGCACCTAGAAATTTGAGGAGAGGTTGAAAGAAAGAGTTTTCTGGAATTTTATGAGAAAACATAGAGTGAAAGTTAGATTTTTCCACATGTATTTATAGGAGAAGATGAATTCAGTAGCACTAATGACATTAAAAAATTGAATTTAAAATTCAATTCATAACTCGCAAAATTGACAATTTAATCAGAATAATTATAATTTTTAGCTTCTAACTCGCAAAATTGACAATTTAATCAAAATAAGTATAATTTCAGCCTCACTAAGATATTTTATTTGTACCCCACCCTTATGCAAGAGAGATGCTCTATGCTATACAATTTAAACTCTTTTAAAAAGAGAATTGTATATATACAAATGCAAACTCATATATACCTCTTTTTCAATGTGGGACAAATCCTCCTTATAATCCTTTCCCACTTCATTTTTCCCAATTCAAATGACGAAGACAATTTTCATTATTATTACTAGTATTTGCACCCGTGCGATGCACGGAATAGATTTGTTGTAATATATTAAGAATATATAAATTAATATATAATTATTTAAATTAGAACATCAAATATTATATAGTGCAATTTTGATGTTATCATTGCTTGAATTTGTGCAAATATTTGATCAAATTAATAGCTAATGTCTAGATGTAAGCATGCGGTGCTATAACTTTGAAGATTTTATTTATCATTGTTTAGTATTTTCATAAATTAGTCAAATGTGCTCGTTCTCTAACAAATCAGTTATATAAATGAATTGTTATCCTTATTCATTTGTATGGAAGATATGTGTTTTTTGTCTAGATATATAGCAATTTTTTCATTTAAAAAAAAAAAACTTAATATCACCGATTATATTTAAACCTCTTTGTAGACGACAATGGTAGTGGCAACACAATCTTGTTCATCTTCGCCTAGAACTAACACCTTCAATCTATCAGGACGGATTACTTTGGTGAAAATATATAATGGTAGAATATTACTCAATTAGTTATACTTGTATATTTTCAATCAATTAGTAATATCATATTCATTTTCAGCCAATTATTCTTTTTTATTTTCAGTCAATTAGTGAATTAGAATATCAAATGCAGTGTTATTTTTTACCTAATTTTCGTTCCATTTTTAATTGATGATGTAGATATTATTATTAAAATATTTCCGTTCCATTTTTAATTTACCTTTACTATTATTCAGGGGCGGAGCCAGCATGGGGGCAGCTGCCCCCCACCCCCCACCCCCACCCCTACCCCTACCCCTACCCCTATATTATCCTTGTATGTATATATGTATATATAGAACAAATTAAAGTATTAGTAAATGAAACACAGAAGTGTTAACATGTGTTGGTTTAGTGCAGTTGGCTAGGCGGGCGTTTAGCCTTTTGTTAAGTCGAGGGCTCGAATCCTGTGGTGCTAGTAAATTTTATGACTATTTATTATTAATTGTTAGGCTATTGCTTCAACACAATTTCATATATATAAAATGAGATGTGTACTTTATAATTTATTTTCTATTCTAATTAATTCATCAAATTAATTATGTTTCATATTTTATTATAAATATTTTTATAAAGTTTTGATATGTTTTATTTTTTACTTATATATCCAAAAATATTTATAATTATACTTCTTTAAGTGTTTCATTTTTTTAAAACTATTTTTTTTTTTTGTAATGTTCTGCCCCCACTGACAAAAAATCTTGGCTCTGCCACTGCTATTATTTAAAATATGCATTTACTATTGATAATGTAGAATATTAGTATTGAAATATTTTCCTCCAATTTCTAATTTCCATTCCATTTTTAATTAACATGCAATGATCTGGCCATTTCTTTTTTTTTTTTTAGTCAATTATGGATCCTTTTGCAGTCAATTATTAATATTCATTTTCTTTTATATTTTCAGTCAATTAGTAATATTAGATTCATTTTCAGTCAATTATTCTTTTTAATTTTTGTTGGGCGTCGGCCGGGATGGCCGAGTTCAGCCCCTGCTCGATTCGAGACGTGGCGCTGTGGCTTACCATGGAGAGATGTGGTTAAATGGTTAATGTCCACCTACCTATCACCAATTGGTTTTAAGTAGGATATGTCAACCAGGTACCATAGAACTCTGTGGTTAAGCGTGCTTGACTTCCGGCAATCCCGGGATGGGTGACCCCCTGGGAAGTGAGCATAGTGCAGCGCTGAGATCCAACAATTGGTATCAGAGCCGAGGTCACGGGTTCGGATCGATGGCGAGGCGAAAGCCGAGTCCAGTCCCAGGTGGGATGTGGGCGTAGGTCGGGCCAAGTCCAAGGACCGAGTCAAGCATGCTGCGCAACTGGGCTTGGTGATCAAAGGTTGCGGCAGGTGCTGGGAGGGGGATTGTTGGGCGTCGGCCGGGTTGGCCGAGTTCAGCCCCTGCTCGATTCGAGACGTGGCGCTGTGGCTTACCATGGAGAGATGTGGTTAAATGGTTAATGTCCACCTACCTATCACCAATTAGTTTTAAGTAGGATATGTCAACCAGGTACCATAGAACTCTGTGGTTAAGCGTGCTTGACTTCCGGCAATCCCGGGATGGGTGACCCCCTGGGAAGTGAGCATAATGCAGCGTTGAGATCCAACAATTTTCAATAAATTAGTTAATTAGAATATAGATGCAGTTATATTTTCGTTCCATTTTAATTTAATGATGTAGAATATTATTAATGAAATATTTTCGTTTCATTTTTAATTTACCTTTACTATTTTTGGAAATATGCCTTTACTATTTGATGATGTAAAATATTATAATTGAAATATTTTCTTTCCATTTTTAATTTTCCTTTACTTCTTAAAAAAAAAAAAAAAGACTTTGGACTTACCAATACTTGCCCACATTGATGGCCAAATAATTATGTTTGTAAGAGTAGCAATTTATATAGAGGAGCTCAAAAGCTCATCTTTCCAGACAATTTTAATGTGAGATCAAAATGATACCACATTATTTACAAAGGAGCCAGTGGCTCACTTTTGTCTTCTTCTTATTTTTTAATTTTAATTTTATTTTATATATCGTTTTGTTTGGATTATTATTATTATTGTTATTATTATTATTATTGATTAGTTGTTGTTGTTATTATTGTTATTGTTATTATTTTAATTTTAATTGTAATTTAATTTTATTATTATTACATTATTACATAGGGTTTTTATTATACTTCAACAATAATATTATCAATTATATTATAGAATATAATACCATACATAATAGTACTAATTATGCAATATTACCAATTAATAGATTTTATTTAATTTCCATTTGACATTTACATACCAAATAAGCTTTACTACAAAAGTTTGGACGGGAAAAATGAAATAGGATGATTTTATATATATATATATATATATATTATTACCCTAATACCAAATTTATAATTCTGACTTTAAAATTCTTATTATTATTATTATTATTATTAACATCAACATTTGATTAGTTTTATAAATTCTGTGTAATTTATATATGCACTATGCATAAATTCTTAATTTTCTAGTATAATAATATTTTTCTGCCCATATATATATTAAATATTATTAATTGTATATAATATCTATATATAAATAATGGATGATATTACAAAAATGCCCCTATATTTTGGGGTAATTTGGCTAGCAGGATTTTACTTTTAATTATATATAGAATAGAATATAGAATATAGATTTCCGTTCCATTTTTAATTTACTTTTACTATTGTTTAAAATATACATTTACTATTTATGATGTATAGTATTATTATTGAAATATTTTTGTACAATTTTAGTTTCCATTCCATTTTTAATTAAAATGCAATGATCTAAGCATTTATTTTTTCATATTAGTCAATTATGAATCATTTTTTTATTTGCATTCAACTATTCTTTTTCAATCAATTATTCTTTTTTATTTTCAGTGAATTAGTCCATTAGAATATTAGACGCAGTGATATTTTTACCCCATCTTCAATTGATGATCTAGAATATTATTATAGAAATATTTCTGAAGGGGATACCCACATATACAATTTACACCTACACCAAGGCTCAAACTCTAGAACTCCCAGATAGAGGAGCAACCTGATACCAATGGACCACAAGGTCCTTGGT